GCTTCCCCCCCCCCCCCCCCCCGGCGCACCTGCTGTGCAGGGCCAGGACAGACCCCAGCTTCACCCGCACGGTTTAGGACCTTCTCTCCGGGGGAAGCGCCGGCGGCGTGGCGAGAAATTGAGACACCGCGGCAGTGCCACGAGGTGGGCCAGCTCCCAACCACGGCGCCTGCCCGCCCGGTTCTGTGGACCTCAGGGGGGAGGACCGAATGCGACGGAGTCCTTCTCTGCACGGGGAGGGCCCGGGCGCTCAGCTCAGAGGAAGCAGCCCCCCGAATGGTGCCCCCCCCACGGCCCCTCTGGAGCTGCTCCCTTGCAGGAGAAGCCCCGCGGCCACCGGCCACCTAAGAGGCGCCTCCGTGCAAGCCGGGAGCGTGAGTGGCGGGGGGTGGGGGCGGGGAGCGTGGCCGAGACTGCCTCTTTATTGGGGACAGGGGGGCCTTTGATGTAAGTCGGGGCCACCCCCAAATGCCCCACTGTAGCTATAGGCCTGTCTGAGGGTCCCCTAATAATATTCAAATCCCTTTTTAAACAAAAAGACATTGGTCCCGGTCACAGGAGCGATATAATTTGGGGGGGGGGGGGGCAGTGTTCCCTCTAAGCTGAGTTAGTGTGAGCTAGCTCACAATTTTTTAGCCTCCAGCTCACAGATTTTAGTTTTAGCTCAGGAAGGATGGCTCCAGAGCAAACTAATTTATGCAGGAGCCAGATCGCTCACTCATAATTTTAATGCCAGGAGCTCACAAAGGAGAATTTTTGCTCACAAGGCCCCACAGCTTAGAGGGAGCATTGGGGGGGGAGTGAGGCTTTTTGCTCCGGAAGTGTGGCAAAGCAGTACCACGTGCGTGCGCATTTGTATGCATACCATGGAGGCTTACAAGAAAACATCTGGTGGGACGCAGATGGGTGCTGGATGCAACGGGATACCAGCGCTTCCGCGATCAGATGCTCGCCCACGCCCTGCATGTTCCAGATAATACTACACTTTCCGAGCTACTTTTTAAGTCCGCATCTTCGGCAGGACGCTACGGGTTGGAGACTGGCACGCGATGCTTGCCAGATGGTGCCGTATGATCACGCCTTTTTAATCCGCCCGGCAGTCATGCCTCTCGCGCAGCGTGTGACTGGGACCATTGTAAGTCCCCCAGCAATCAGTGACAGACATAAAGATGGAGGGACCTCAGCAACAAACAGCTAGTTTGATGTATTGGTTAAAGCGTTGGACTAGGACCTGGGATGGAAACTCAGGTTGGAATTCCCACTCTACCATGAATCTTGCTCTATGACCTTGGGTCAAACACATTCTCTCAGCCTAACCTAAACCACAGGGTTGGTGTGGGGTAAAGTGGAGAAAGGCAGACTGACATATGCTGCTTTGAGCTCCTTGGAGAATGGAATGGATAAAAATTTAGTAAATAGATAAATGCAGTAGTTCCTACTCTTGAGACCTGTGTTTCAATCCCTGGTCAGTGGGTGACTTGGAGCCAGTCACTCTTTCTCAACTTACCTACCTCATAAGTGTGAGAAAACCAGATAACCACTCATGTACACTGTTCTGAGTTTTTTGCACACAGGGAAGGATAAACATATACAATAAATAAAAGCATTCTGAAAGAAGCCCATTGAAGGAGACGCTATAGATCCCAACCACATCCCTCCGATCTCCACCAGCTTGGACCTCATGATCAGTTTACTTAAAAAGGAATGTGATTGCCTTTTTAAGCCACTTTTTGCATCTCCAAATCAGGATGATAAAATGGTAAAACACTGAAGTGCCCCACTTTATTTATATGTAATTAGTGGTATTCTTAATCTCCATCAGCTATTGTAAACATAAAGTTACTCATCCACTATTTAAAGAGACTGATCTAAGTATCCTTGTGGCTCAAAGACTGGCAGTGCAATCCTAAACAGAGTTATATCTTCTTTGAAGTGAAGGGGCATAAAAGGGGATCACTCTGTGCACTTGAGTGCTGAGGAACCAAAAAATCTTTAGATTCAATTATTCTGCCATTAACTCACTATGGCCAGTTAGTCTTTCCACTTGCCCTTATTTACTTATTTCATAATTACTTGTGTGGCTAGAGACGAGATGTACCATAGATACAAAAAGCAATTTTAGTTTAAAATATTACAAGGACAGGCTATTCTAATTCTTGTAATATTCTAGCACCTGCATCCTTTTCTTACAGCCTCTCAAAATATTCTTTATTCCAGCCACAGAGGATGCTGCATTTCTAAAGAGTTTTTACTTGGAAAAAAAATCATTTAGAGTCTGAGAAGTGGTGAATCACAGAAGATTTCAGCTGTCCTGCAGTTATAAAAACCACATCTTGGCCCAGGCCAGACATGCCGGAAAATGTGGGGGGGGGGGGCACAGCTATTTGCACCGTCGCATTCTGATGCTCTATTATGCTATCAGATGCGACGACGGCTTCCCCGCAGCAAAGAGGACGACAGGGGAGAAAGCCGCGCGCCGGCGCGATCACACCAGGAGGCTTCCATAGGCGGCCTGTGGCAAAGTGTTTGCTAGTACATGCGGTGTGCTAGTTTTTTATTGCGGGGCTTCAGCGGCTTGCCACGGGGTCGCCACAGGAGTGCTACGCCTCCCAGATGTTCCCGTGTGATCACGCCCGGATACTCCGCGGGACTCCCGTGCCTTCAGCGGGGCAAATGCTCCGTGTGACCGGGGTCCTTGATGTGTTTCCTAATCAACAACCACATATTAGTTCTTCCTGCCTTTCTCAAAGGAGCTCAAGGCAGAGTACATGGTTCTCTTCCTCTCCATTTCATCTTGGTAACAACTCTGTGATGCAGGCTGGGGTGAAAGACAGTGACAGTTCCCAGGTTACTCAGGAAGCTTTATGCTCTCTAATAATGGAAACAGTTGCAGCAATCTTCTGAGAAACCCCATCCCTTCGGGCACTATACTGTTCACAAAAGCTTACTATTCTCAGAAGCAGTTACTGATGGAGGAGTCAGCCAGCAGCAGTAACATCCACTACCAAGCCACTATAATTTAGGCTCAACCCAGCCACCAGCGATCTGCACTTTGAACAGTCTAACTATGGGCGCACACCTGAGAGATCAAGCTACAAATCATGAAGTCCTCGATTCAAATGTTGTTTTTGCCATGAACTCACTAGGCAAGCCACTCTCTCCTAGCCTTGGCCACTCTGCAGTAGGGGAGGGGAGAGGAGGGGGTGGGGCGGGCGGCGGGAGAATACTAGTGGTCTATCCTGTAAGGCTGTTGCAAAATTTTTGAAAAGCTTTTTGAACAGTGAACGCACTATATAAAAGTTAAATATTATGGAGCTGTGGATGTGCTCCAAATACACACACCCCGCAAATCAACGTTAGAACAATTCACAATTGTCCATTAAAAAGAGGGAGGAGAGAGGAGCAAAGAAAAGTGAAAACTGCAACGGTCCCTCCTTCTGTTGAACAGGTACCTGATCAGACGCCTTACTTACCGCCTCCATCCTCCCCAATGCTGCCCACCGCACCCGGAGAAGGGGAAACAACTACCGTTGTTGCTCATAGTCTGTACTTCCGCCTTGACGCACTTCCGCCAGTAAAAGGCGACAGCAGGGAAGGGTTGACGGTTTGTGCATACACTTCTATCTTTTTGAAACTGTATCGACCCTGCCGGTTACCAATCGAATGTTACAATGCTCGTGGGTAGTAGTAGCCCTGTTGGTCTATCGAATCTGCATCTTCATATTTAAATCAATCTTTTGGTATTATGCTGGTTTGAAACTGGCACAAGATGGTTTGCCTGCATTTCCCATGTGTTTTCCTATCTGGTCGATTCTACTTTTCATCATTAGATGGCGCTGTTGGCCCATGCTTCACTTTAACTTTCATTTGATCTCATCTGGCGTTATCAGACACCAAGGTTTTTTTAAAAAAATATTTTGCAATTAACTCCACGGGTTTTTTTGATCAGTTGTTTAACACATTTTACAGCAAATTAGCCCCTCTCATGAGTGTCGGCCAATTTATGCTGTAGGGATGTTATGCAAATTCACCATACAACCTAAATAACTATAACGTTTATTCTTCCTCCTCCAAGACTGTGCTGTCGTTCAATCAGTAAGTTCCAGCCTATGAATTAGTCCACTCCAGGTTCATTTTTTCCCCCTCATGTCAATTCCTACTGCTTTTCTTCAAGCACACTGCCTGATGGTGGGAGGAAGGAAAATGAGAGCTGGCAGAGAGCGGCCACCAGCGACTCCAACAGGGCAAAAAGCCTACAGCACCCGGTATTCCCAGGCGGTCTCCCATCCAAGTACTAACCAGGCCCGACCCTGCTTAGCTTCCGAGATCAGACGAGATCGGGCGTGTTCAGGGTGGTATGGCCGTAGGCCTTGGAATCGCCTCCCGTGCCTCACTTCAGTGTGCTGCCTTCCTTCCTTCCGCCCCGCCCCTAAATGAAAATGCACATTTCTCAGCAATGTCAGGGCACTGGGCCTGCATCTGCCACCCGGACACGGAGCGCCAACACTGCCATCCAAGTCCCCCTGCCAGGGATTTTGTTTTTAAAAAGCAGAGGTGCTGGAACTCTCAGAGCTCTCACTCTCTATCCTCAAAACTCATGAGCTTTTAAACATTTTTAAAGAATTTTGTCGAAGAGGTTCCCGAGCTCCGTTCCGGCGCGTTCCCCCTGAAAAAAAGCCCTGCGCCACCGGGAAACCACAGGCACCCATGCTTGCCCCCAACAGGGTACTTCAGTTACCTTCAAGAAGGCACACCCTTGGCTTTTGCCCTCACAATCCCTCCATGGCAACTCTTTTCACTTCCAAGACGCCTCCGGCACCACTCTGCCCAGGCGCCCGATCCATTTCTTCAGGTACCTGCTGCAATCATCTCTGCAGAATCCCTGGGG